TCTCCCTGCTTCTTCCTGGTTTTCCATGTTCTTCCTGGTTCTCTCTGTTCTTCCTGGTTCTCTCTGTTCTTCCTGGTTTTCCCTGTTCTTCCTGGTTCTCTCTGTTCTTCCTGGTTCTCTCTGTTCTTCCTGGTTTTCCATGTTCTTCCTGGTTCTCCCGGCTTCTCGCTGTTTCTCTCTGGTTGTCTCTGTTTTTCCTGGTTCTGTCTTCCAGGATGCTGTCTCCTGCTGACCCCTAGTGGGTGGCCCTTTAAATGATTTATTAGTTTTTTAGCTGATTTGGATTTTTAACAAATGTCTAATATTCTGAGTTAACATTTTCTTAATTATAATGTTAATAAATTAGTTTCCGGTGTTTAAAGGAGCAGCAGGTTTAGAACCAGAACGGTTCACTGTGCTGTTGTCCCTGTTGGGTCTTCACCAGTTTCTTGTGTTTTCCAGCTGTCCTCAGCGGTTTGTGAGAAACAGTAGAGAAGGGGGGGCGATCATGAAGACCATGGAACCCAGCATACATATTCCTGCCTGGAAAACACCTGGAAACCTCCTGATGCCTGTATTGTCCATTATTGTCCCTGTTTGGGTCCAGGAGGACAGAGTTCATGTCCTTGGTGGGAAGCTGAAGCCTGATGCTTTGACTCTGCAGGCAGACTGTGGACAGAAACAGGATCTCTGAGACTCCCTGCTGGTTTTCCTGGAAACCTCCTGACTGGCAGCAGCAGCAGCTTTCCAGGAACCAGCTGTGATCCTGAGGCACCTTCACCGTTGATGCTGAATGCTGCTGTGTCCCACAGAGGCTGGTGGTGTTCCTGGAGGAGTCCATTTATGTCCACAACATTAAAGACATGAAACTTCTCAAGACTCTGCTCAACACTCCTTCCAACCCCTCAGGTACGACCACAGCATCAGCTGTACGAGCTTTTCTTTGATCCCATCTGTTTTTAGGCTTCATTCCTTCCTGAACAGAGAGCTGCTCTCCACATGTCTCCTTTTCCTTCAACTTTCAGGTTTCATTTGATATTTTAGATTGATTGATTGACTTTATTGATCTCACAGTGGGGAAATGTACTCATTACTTCAGCTCACATAGTCAAAGGAGAAGAAGAAGGAGCCAAAGGAAGAAAAATGTGCATATTAATTAGCTTGGCAGTAGAACTGAAACCAATCCTGATGATTGTTTTTTTTTTTTTATTATGAATGAGTTGATTTATTGGAGCTTTCTGACTTCCTGCAGGTCTTTGCGCTCTTTCCACCAATCAGTCCAGCTCCTACCTGGCCTATCCAGGCAGCGTCTCCTCTGGGGACATCATTGTACACGACACCAACACTTTGGTAAGAAGACTTCCCACCCTAAACCTTCTGTTAAGCCATGAGATTAAAGATAAATTAGGTTTGTTTCTAAATATAATTTAGAGACCAATCTCTAATCTCCAGTTTTTGAACTCTATTGTTTTTTTGGTCTTCTTAGAGTCAGAGGTACCGGTAATTAATTATCTGACGTAAACTGGATAAAATGATCAGGGTTTGGACATCTTCTTTAGCTCATGTATTAGCATTTAGCGCTTTTAGCATTACCAAAATATCAGACTCTGTTTATTTATATCAGAACATGTAGATCCTGAAACCTCTTCAGGGAAACAGTTTTCCACGATAGATCAATCTGAGCGCTCCAGATGATTTATGTTTAGTCTTCCTGTTATCTGCCCAAACTGCTGCTCTCACAGCCTGAATGAACCACAGACATCCTGGTTTCCTTTCTGTTAGCTTTTTGTCTCTACATTGCAGTTACACTAAGAAAGCTCAGGGTTGGAGGTTAGGGTTGAACCCCAGGATGATCATCAGTGTATTAAAAAAGAAAACCTTTGAATTGTCTTTAAAGTTGATCTATATGGAGACAGTTCAAAGGTTTTCTTTTTTAATACACTGAACCCAGAGTTCAGTCTGGACTCCACAGGAACACAGTTTTCCTTCACCGACCCATAGAACCATAAGATGCCGTGCTCCTGTTACTGTTAGATAACACATGATAGCAGGAAACCAAAACACCACATGAAAGAACAACACGCTGAGTCAGAAGTCCTCAGGGTTCAGCCTGATGTTACATCAGCTGACCTCCCAGGCTGTAACGCCTCCTTTTGTCATGGAGCAGCATGAGTCCAGCTGCATGCTCCTCATGTTCCTCTGAAGGTTGTTTTGACTAATTTTATAGCCTGTGTTCCTAACGTATCTATTTAATGAAGTGGTTTCATTAGATAAGAGGTTATAGTCAGGATCCCAGGGACCTTAAACATGTATCAGACCAGCTCCCATGAAGCCACCTGAGACAGTCCATGTCTTTAAACTCAGATTTATTAAAAGCCTTCAGAACCAGCAAGTTTCCAGAAACAATCCTTCTGAAATCATTTTTAGGAGAAGCAAACTTAAACCGAGCTCATTCTCCTCCCTTTTCAAGCCCCTTCCGTTTTCTGACTTGTGTATTTGACGTTCCTGTGGATGTAGCAACATTAGCATTTAGCAATGTTTAGTTTAGCATACTTACCAGTCTCTTAGACGGTAATTATACAAGCAGCAACGCTTACTTAATAATAGCACAGTGATTTTAAGGCAGGCTAATGTTAGCATAGTGATAGAAAGACAGGCTATTGTTAGCATGGTGATAGCAAGGTAGGCTAATGTTAGCATGGTGATAGAAAGACAGGCTATTGTTAGCATGGTGATAGCAAGGTAGGCTAATGTAAGTATG